ATTCTCTAAATGACTTTTATAAATATCCTCCGGGGTCTTGGGCTCAAGAACATCTAATTCTTTCGCAAGTGCAATAAAGTGTTTGGTTAAATGGGTGTTATTCAGTATATCCTGTATTTTCTCGTCTTCGGTTGGTAGAGAGATTTGTTGTCTTGCTAATATAAAGGCAATCTGCTTTTGCAACAATCTTTATAAACATAATGAATTAGAATTCCAAGGTGAAATTTATTTATTATATTAAAATTATGAAAATTGAACATACTCATCCAATTCTCCGGCAGCATTAAAATCTTCTCGTATCAGATCATAATCTCCAAGTCTGATGGCCAACGATACAGCTTCTGTATATTTGTTTTCTTTTCGATATATTGCATGAGCAGTTCGCAAAAAAGCAACATCATCAGGCGGAACCAACAAGTTTACACAACTGTAAAATACGAAAACTTATCAATTTCAAGAAATATGGACTAATTATAATAGTTAAGAATTCAAATGATATGGTCCGTATTACTTTACTGACTTCACATAACGTGACAATTTACAAGTAATCTATTAATCTATGCTAAAATAATAATATGCTAATTGTCACGCTAAGTGATATCGATTTAGATAAAATGACTGTCGATAAGTGATTGCAACCTGAAATGAAATTATTTAGATTTTTACCTGACCATGTAAAGGCATACGCGTGCATAAATATCTTTATCTACAAAGTCTGGCAATTTTTCAATTGCTTCTAATTCAAGTAACAAATCAACAGCATCCGCTTCAGCATTATGTTTCAAAAAGAATGGAACAATCTCCAAGGCAAGTGCCATAAGATCATCAGAAGGCAGCTCATTATCCTGACGGTGTTCATATTCCTGACCAATTTCAGTTGATAGATGCCTTTAAAAGAGTATAAAAAAAAAATTGTTTAATAACTATAAAAAATATTAAAAGTTGTAATTAATCACGGCACACCTCACATATTCGTGTCCCCAAGATCCCGGATCTCCACGTGACCCTTTCAACCTATATTTCAAAGAATCCCTTTTTCCTTCATCGTAAGTCATCGCCAAAACAGATAAAATATCAGCCAAAAAGAGCTACGACAAAAAAAAAACATGTATTAATGTATAACATGACATAGTTACAAAATATATGCGTAGACTTTATTAAATTTATTACCTTGTTATCAGATTCAGGCCAACTCTCATAAATTTCAGTTACGGTAGCATAATGAGGTCTCAAGAACTTTAATGGTTTCGGAACCGAGGTCATCGAGCTGGTAGACGTTCGAATTAGGGTACGAAGACTTTCTAAAGCCGGTCTGTGAAGATTGACATCAGTTTCCTAGAATTTTTCAAATCAATGTCAATCATTCAGTAACAGATAGATTAATAATATTAACAATGTTAACTATCAAACTCCACCTTTAATCGTTCAACTAACATCTCCAGTTCATTCTTAAGCTGGAGATCTTCTTCAGACTGAAAACGTGAAATAATGATGTCAATGCATGCATATTTAGAATGAAGATATCTCAACAGAATTCGGTTCCTAACGACGTTTCTTGCGACGACGAGTCGTTATCGTGTTTTATCACGCGCTGTTCAGAGTTGCAGCCAAGTTTATAACTTCGATCAATGCGATATGGAATTTAGCGTCGTCTTTATAGGATTAATGGTGTTAAAAAGCATACCAATTCTTCAAATTCGTCCTTTTTTTCTTTGTCGTTAGACATGGGTGTCGAAAATATTTTGCTTTCGGTGTAAATTTAAATAGCAAAAATGATTTTTGACAGCCAAAATCGTAAATAACTTAGTATGTTGAAAATATTTTAGTATTCCGAAAATATTCCTGTATCTGGAATGTCGAAGATATTAAAATGTCATCGAGAAGCATACGTACGTCCTATTAATACGTATGCCTAAAGGTGGTATACGTAATCATCAAACATCTTGATCTGTACTTCGATGATCCCGTGTAACTGGTCTATAAAATCTTAAAATTTTTGAAAAA